AGTAGTTGGTCACCAATTAGATAGAAATAACAGATTTGAATCATCCTTAAGTACGAAAGTTATCAGCTCCATTTATTGATGTTAAAAAGGGGGGGGAGGAGGTTTTCCTATTGAATCGGTTACCTTGCATTTTACAGAAGTAATAAAGAAGTGTATCATAATCGCGCTGAATAGTGAGTTCCCAAATGGGTCCATGGCACTCTTGCATGGTCAAGAGAGCTGCAGAAAAATTGCAAGACTCTCTAGACATCGGATTCAACGTGGGTCTCCATTTGTTAACTACACTTTATTTTTAAATCGGCATTAGTTTTTAAAATAAATAGCAGTGATGAAGTTCTAATTATTGGAGGGTCTTTTCAGATATCGACGATTGTGCTACAGGAAAAACGAAATGCAGTGCTGATGCTGTGTGCAACAATACTAAGGGATCCTACAACTGGACGTGCAAAAAAGGATACTGTGGAGATGGAAATATATGCCATTTGGGCAACATTTCTCCCGCTGTATTTCTTAAGCTAGTTTTTGTATTGTTTCTTTCTGTTTAGACTACAGTAATGAGAGGTTCGTTTAAAATAATTATGTATATCGAGATATAGATATATAGTAAATCAATAAAAACTTCGATAACATTAACAGCCTTGTTAGAAACTACTGAGAATTCAAACTAAAAACAAGCTAACTCCTTGATGGACGTGAAAACGCTTGCCTGCGTAGATAGCAGTCTCATGGTGTGTATTTGAAGCGTCGAACGGCTTGAGTAAAAAAATTTTGGTATTTTTGGCATGCCAGTTTGTCATGTGATGCAGACCTATAAATCGATAGTGAAAGCTTCTAAAATATTTGAAACAAACTATCGTAAAATGCGCCAGGTAGTCTGGTCTTCATTAAAATTATAGGTAAATGGAAAGATAGTTGGGCAGATGGTTTTTATGAGTAAATTAACGAGATTTTCATATTCGAAATTGCGAATAGTTTTCGTTTCTGTCTCTCTTTCTCTCTCTCAATTAACCTTTTTTTTTTTTTTTTTTTTTCGGTATTTCACTCCAGGTATGAAAATGTGTGAATGCAGCCTCCATCCTTGAATTATGCTTTCCCTATTTTTTGTGTCTCCTGCAATGGTTATCGCCCACTTGTTGTGAACTTTTTCTCTAACAAATCGTCAATGACGTCCACAGTCCCCAAGAAAATGTAGAAATGTATTCTGCTGTGGAACAACAAATTTTGCAAGAGAGCTCAGAGCTCATCTGCCGTCCAGGCTGTTTGTAAAAGATCTTGTAATAGTTCTGGCAGAATGGGTAGCTCAACCTCTCCCTTTCATGGCCTAAGTTTGGGTTTGATTTTGGAAACTTAGCAATTCATTGCACCTCACTAAATTCAGAAGTCACGGCCTGGCTGAGCAAAAGCAGCACTGTTAATTTTGAATTTCTCCGATTCAACTTGAGTGCATACTAGCGAGTTTGCGATCGTAAATTTCCTATTTGAAGACAGTTTGTGCGTTTATCTCTGGTAATAAACACTTGCATCACCCAAGTCTTCCACTGGTGGCAATAGATATAGTCGCCCGCAGGACAAACAAAGAGGTTTAAGAAAAAAGAAAAAGGAAGTGTATTAGAAAATAGTTATGAAAATTAGTATAAAAAATTATCACTTACGGTAAGTTTAAAATAATTCGGAGTTTATTCATAAAAAGTTCATAATCAGATCTGTCGAGAAAATCAAACTGTAAACGTTCTCTCCACCGACAGGAGCAGCCAGTTTAGACCCCGATAACATACTACCTACTTCATCACAGATATCCAGGCAAAGTCTGCTCTCGTTCGACAAGTTTCGTCATTTCGATGTACCTAAGCTTGACGATATTATGGTATACGACGACTTTGAATGCACATTTGGATGCCTTCACCATCCTCTGTGTGTTTCCGTGAACTTGGCTGCTGAAGGTGATTTGTGGTGTGAGTTACTGTCGTCTGATAAGTACAGCAACCCCAATGAATACAAAGAAAAAAAGAGTTCGCATTACTACTTCTTTGAGGTAAGGACGAATTACGCCTTGATTGTATCACTTGAGTTGTACTGTTTCAAGAATGATTTTGAGAAACAGCAGGAAATAATAGGTGCAAAAAGAAAAATGTTACTCACAGCGCGAAGCTGACTAGAAGATTTGAGGATGGACAAACCTATTTTTTTATAATTCAGCTGAGGAGTTAGTTTATTCAAAAATGCTATGATATCAGAGGAATAACACTCACGATCCCAAGCATGAAATCTTCGCTTTAATTTTTATAAATACATTTGTCATAGCTATTCATCTATATGTTAATTGGTAAAGGATCGATTGTGAAATGTTTGCCAATTTCGAAAAAAGAGCATTTGAGTCGGAGAAAATTGGCCTCCGTGGTGTGTGTTTATATTTTGATGTAAGAGGCCTACATATAGTCAACGTCAGGTGGATTCTTTCCCAGCTATGACAAGTTAATACTAAGTGCAGCGTAGGTTTCTTTAATTTGTTTGAAGCTGAAATAAAAGCACAATATTTAATTATAAATGTCCAGACTTTCAAATTTAAATATGTTTGGTGCTTTGAAGCCTATTTATTTGGAATGGGAGGCTTTTTACAAGTCTTATCACAATGTTGCATCTCCAGAAGGAGCAAGACTTATAAGACGGGAGATATGGGTCTTACTAAAACGTTAAGGGAATTTTTTTTATTGTTGCATCAGAGTCCTTGTGCAAAAAAACCCTGCAAGAACAACTCCACTTGTCTGATCGGTTTTACTGACAAAAGTGACAATGTTTGTGTTCCGCTGGATTCAAGGGTCAGACTTGCGATGAAGGTAAAATACGTCTGAATGTTATAAGTTTTATGGAGAAGATGTCAGTATTTCCGTCTGTGACTTAAAAATCCTTGTATGAGCTCCATGCATGGACCTTAGGAGAATTTAGACAAAGAAATTATTAATAAACTGGCATAAGTCTAAGGGTTACATCATCTCTTGTAAAAAAAAAAAAAAAAAAAAAAAAGAACCAAAAAAACAATTTAGGCAGTCTTGTGCAAGAATGCTATGCAATATATGAGTCAAATTAGAACCAAGTACTTAACTTTCATATACTCTGCATCAATGAGGTTGAATCTTGCAGACATAAACGAGTGTATCGAGGGAACATCCAATTGCAGTGCTGATGCTGTTTGCAACAATACTAAGGGTTCCTACAACTGTACGTGTAAACCAGGATATTCTGGTGATGGGCGGACTTGCGAAGCCTGGGTAAACGTGACCAAAGTCTTTATTCTAGTTGACGAACAAGGGATGATGGAAACTAAGGAAACGAATCTCAACCCTAAAAATGTTCAAATAAGTCGTGGGGTTTGATGAAGTACTTGACTTTGGAGGATTGTAGTGTTTTTCCGTCGGTTAGATTATGCCGTAACATAAAAAATTAGAGAGACATGACAAATTTGAATCATCCTCAAGTACGAAAGTTATTAACTCAATTTATTCTGGTTAAAAAAAAAGGGGGGAAGGGGTCCCTGTTGAATCGGTTACGTTAAATTTTACAGAAGTAGATTAGAAGTGTACTATAATCGCGCTGAATAATCAGTGCCCAAAAGAGTTGATGGCACTCTTACATGGTTAAAGTAGCTGCAGCAAAATTGCAAAATTCTCAAGACATCGGATCCATAGGGGGTCTCCATTTGTTGATTACACTTTATTTTTAAATCTGCAATAGTTTTTAAATTAATAGCAGTGATGATGTTGTAATGAAAGGAGGGTCTTTTCAGATATCGACGAGTGTGTTACAGGTAAAACGAAATGCAGTGCTGATGCTGTGTGCAACAATAGTAAGGGATCGTACAATTGTAGATGCAAACAGGGATACTATGGAAATGGAAATATCTGCCGTTTGGGTAATATTTCTCCTGCTGTGTTTTTTAAGCTAGTTTGTGTACTGTTTCTTTCTGTTAAGACTACTGTAATGAGAAGTTCGTTTATAATGATTATTTATATCAAGATAAAGATAAATAGTAAACCGATAGAAACTTCGATAAATGCCTTGTTAGAAATTATTAAGAATTCAAACTAAAAACAAGCTAGCTTGATGAACGTGAAAACGCTTACCAGTGTAGATGGCAGTCTTATGGTGTGCATTTGAAGCGTCGAGCAGCTTGAGTAAGAACGGCGAGGCTGCGAGGGGTTTGGGATGCTGCTTAAACTCGCGGCTCCGCTGCTTTTATTTTCACCTGGTGTATTAGACACCGCTAACAATGCAAGCTATGGAAACACGAGTGATTAAGAACACTATGTATTCCTATTCCACATGTAAATGTTCTCTTTGAGAACATTTCAAAACGCCATCGCACTTTTTTCTTAGATAGTTTGTTGCTGTTGATATGCCTTTTCTTTTTTTCAGCTTCGACGTGTAAACATATTTTCGACCGGAACGTGTAAGTCAATCATTCACTAACCAGAACAAAGCGGGAGCGGAATTTAATTAGAGAATATGAAAATAACAGTACTACTAGTAATTATAATTCTGAAAATAATATTGTACGTAGCATAGCAACTCTGAGGATAAACTCTCACATTAGCTTCTCTCCTGAAAGGATTCGCCTCATCTAATAGTACTCTGTGTAAATATATTGAATGCATGGAAGCCATGGCCCTCATCAAGTTTCAACTGAATCTCTCCTTTTTAAGAAGATTCTTTATTTAGTAGATCGAAAACGAGTGGCGAGGTTATCCTGCACTTAGACTCAAAGGCAATATCTGTTTTCTGTCACATGGGAGAATTTGGATGCGGAGATGGAGGATGGACGCCGATCATGACGATTAATGGCAATAAGGTAAATATTCATCTGGGAACAAATTCACCCTTGATACAGGACAGTGAAGAGAAGCGACAAAGGGGATGGCCAAAATCTGGGGCTGTTTCCCTGAGAAACGTCATGAGTCACTCGCTTGTCTTCATTTAATGGGAGACTGGAAAAGGCTATAACAGATATCTTATTTAAAATTAAAATACAAATTTTATTCTTTTTTAATAAACTTCAGATTACATTCCATTACGATTCCCAGTTTTGGAGCAACAGAAGTACTTACAACCTTCCAGGAGGTAAGACTGGCTTTGACTTACAAGAGACAAAGTTACCGACGTACTGGACCACATCCTTCTCCAAGATCTGTCTCGGTACGAAGATCAACAATCAATCAGATTCTTTGTCATTAAGAAGGAGGGTGACTCACTTCACTCCCTTATCGCTGATGGGAAATACCGCGCCACCTCAGTTGGAAGTTGCTGATTGGCTCACAGGCCTCCATGCAGTCCCACTGCAATAGGGAAGGATTAAATGTTGTGGGAGACCCTCATCAATCCAAAGCAAGAATCGGAATCACCGCTAACCAGGAGAATGACTGTATTACCTGTGACTCTCGAATTGGTTTGGCACAGGAGGTCTATATGATGACTCCAACACGTGTGGAAATGAGGCAACGCTCAGGCCAGATAATGGCAACAGGCATATTAAAGCCATGGGGTACATCCTGGTGCTATGGCAGGGGACACAGTTAACTACCCAAATTTCAAGCCGAGAACCCATCAGAAAGTACAAAATGTAGTATACTAAAGCTTACCAGTAATTAAACAGTGGGTTCAAAATTATCTCCTCTGGTTGGATTTGTCTAAAATATAACTTTTTTGAAATCTAGTCTAAGGTGTTTCATTTCTGAGGAGCCAATTTGAGGTAGAAATCGGCAATGAAGACATCCTCCATTTTTATAATACGTTGATGTCGCGAACTTTACATAAAAGCAGGTCAAAATCTGGTCACGCACTGAAGAACCTACACGAAAGTAGTGACTTTAACTTCCTTCTTTTTTTTTTCTTTTCGCGCGAGTGGATTTCTTTTCGGAATATTTCCCATAGCCAAAACCTCTCTCACCAAAGGTTCAGATGTCCCCCTTTCAACTCACCTAAGTCAAAACTTGCCTTAATGGATCAGTGCGATTTCCTCATATAATTTTAGAGAGACAAATTCTGTAGTTATTTCTCGCAGAACAAAGGTTGTTTTTTGGACCAGTCATTTCTGTAGGGGAGCACACATGGTGTTCAGGGGGTTTCCGAGAGGAGATCAGTCGTCGCCTACAGACCATACAGTTGGGAATCTAGAAAACTGACTGCTAAGTAACTGCCAATAAGGAGGGGGGAAGGTTAATAAGAATATTACAATTAAAATACGCACGTTTTTGCTTAAATGACGAAGAAACGGGAATAAAAAAATTGCAATATTTGAACGTAAAACCAGTTTGATGAAAGTTCTCCATTGGTGTCCGCATTCTCCACAGGCCACCAAATTTGACCATTTCATGTTCTTGTTTCAAAAGGATAACTAGGTGATCTATTTTGAAAGTATGATCGACAATTACATTACTCTTCCTTTTTTCTTGGTGAACTTCAGTTTATACGCTGATGTATTCTTTTCAAAGGAGTTGCGCGTGCGAAGATGGAAGATAGACACTGGCCATGGTAAGAGATGGTAAGTGGCACAATCTACAAACCATGAAGCTCAAAATTATTCGAACCATGATGACACCAACACTTGTGGAAATGAGGCATTAGGTAGCGTGTCGTCAGATAATAGAGGTAAACCCACCAAAGTCACGGAATACATCTTGGTGGAGTTTCAAGGGAGACAATAAACTGTTCCGGTGCTAATGGATCTCGAGCCACGCCCATAGAGACCTAAAATATGTATATGTAGCTTCAAACTGGTGCAATATTGTTTTCTGAGGATGTTATCAGAGGTAATTAAGAGTTTCTAATTTCTGATCAAAATTTACTTTTGATGAGTTTTCACACATAGAGCATCATACAATCGAACCACTCAAAACCGGTTTGAATTTTGTGACGCTAAGAGAAGGAAAAAGAGGCAAAACCAACGACGAAGACATGTTCAATGTCAGCGATATCAGTAAAGTTACCCTCCTGGTGGAAAGACTGGGTTTGACTCACGAGACACTAAATTGTCAACTTAGTAGAGCAGATCATTTCCTAAGATCGGTCTAGAAATGAAGATCGACCAACAGCTCAGGTTTCTGCTCTCGGCTCTGACTAATCAGTGATAAGCAGTGCCGCAACTTCGAAATGTGACTTGACACGTGGAATGCAACAAGATGGGTTTAGTGCTATTGTTGAAAGCAGCCTCTCCAAGCCAGGATCTCACTTCACCACCAAGCAAGAAACGACTGTAACATTTCTGACTCCAGACGTGGCTTTCTTACAGGGGGATAAAAGTATGACTACAACACGTTTGACAACGAATAAAGTATGAAAAAACTCGCAAACAATGGAATCAACTATTTTTTTAACGTCATAAGATATATCTTGTTGCAGTGGAAAGGGGACAATGGACTGTTCAAGATAAGGCCCTAAAGCCAAGTGAAATTGGGATTATATAAAAGTAGACTATGGAATACACAGAAATTACACTCTGAGGCTACTCTTATATACATTTATTCTTAATTTATGGGGAGTTTCTCCAAGCACGGTTTCATAAATATGGTTTTGGTACTCTTTCTTTATCTTACTCAAATAAAGAGACGGTATTTGCGATATGCGACCACTATCCATGTGACGGAGATTTTACTGACCTGTAGAATCGGCATATAGAATCGGCAAAACCAATTAGTTGGGGCACCTCATATCACTTCCTCGAGATCATTCATCACATCCTACCGGATAACGGTATTATTAAGACTTCATTATAAGTTATAGTTAAAGGATGATAAAACAAATTTATAGTTTAAAGCGTAAATTTTACTTGCAGCACTTACAGTTTTAGCTTACTAGTTGAATTCTCTCGATTGTGATAAACTTAAGAGTACCGTAATGTTCGCCACACTAATAAGAACTCATAAGAAAAATTTCTTAAATATTCTCAAAGAGCTCCAGTAGGAGGTTCCAGTTGATCTAGTTTTCAGCAAGTCTATTACAAGGTAAAAGAAAATTTTGGGCCCAGTAAATCATGTTTACCGTTTAGCACCTGTATCTGTTATTTGTTTAAAAGAGGTCTTGTTGTTTATCACCACAATGGCAATTCGCTTAACGATAGCTTAAAACTTTTTTTTTAAACTCTTATCAACTGCTTAACAAATATAATATGGGCGAATAGATAATGAGTGGGCGGATGGTTTATATGATGATGATGGTTTATACGAACAAGTTTTTGTGTATTTAATTTCTTTCGCAGCCAATCGCGACACATTTCCTTTTCTTTCTTTTCTTTTTTTTTTTTTTCTATTACAGACTGGTTCTTTGTAATCGAGCTCATCATCCGAGTTTATCAGTTAAAATATTTCCCACCGACCTATTCATCTCTTTCATCATATCTCTTTTTTTTTTCTTCTTCTTTTTTTTTTACCGGATTTTCATGTGTGAAAAGTTTATACTTGTAGATATTGTCGTCTAAATGCAGGAGTCTTTTTATTTATTTGTATTTTTTTGAAGCCAGTCTTCTTGTTTGTATCTGCCATAGTAGTTATTGTGTTTATAATGCTCAGTTTGGTCAAATTTTTGTCAAAGAAATTACTATCATGGACAGGGAATACCGACAAACTAACCTATCATGATAAATATGTCGCTTTGTTTAGTAATTTAATCGGCTGAAGAACAGGATGTTATACAGTGCAGCTCTCCTGCAGTATAGACTCTTTGGAAAAGTTATTTGGTTATTGATTTCTTAAACAATTTAATCCACTTAACCAATTAAAACTAAGAACTTACGTTTAAGTTGAGAAAATTTACTTCTCTCTATTTTGGGGGAATTTTGTAAAGTCAATTTCTTACATAAATCTTTACATTTTCTTTGGAAATGAATTGCTATCCGGGATTTTCCTGCAGGTGGTAGTACGAATGGGAACAGAAATGAAACATGAAAAAAAATTAGAATGCTTGGATATTCAGACGGATAAACCGCCGATAATTACCATAGTTACCATCATCATCACGTCTATTATGGTATTTTCCCTGTCATAAGCTTTGAAATTGTTTATTTAATTCTAATATCATAGCAAATATTTTTCTCTCGAGTATTATCATCATTGTTGGTTTAAATGCTGGTCGTTTTCCATTTTGTTAATATTTCAACGTAGGATATTAAGAAAGAAACGGCTTCATTGCCCACCGAGTAGCGACTGTGACTCTAGTGGTGGCTTTGGTACAGAACGACTCAAGGATGACTCCGACACGTGCGATAAGAAAGTTACGGATGCGCCATGAAAACGGAAAAGGGCCAGTGGAAGCCTTGAAAAAAAATGTAAATAGTTAATGTAAATAGTAGTTAAAAATTACACTCTGAAGCTACTCTGACATAGTATTGTTTGTTTGGGATTTACTATGCTTTAACATTTATAAATCCAGTTTCCGTACCCTTTCCTTATCTTACGCACATAAACAATCTGCATTTGCACTTAGAACAACTAACCATATGACGCAATTGTTCACTGGCCAGACGGAATTTAAAATATCATATTTTAGTTACATTTAGGCCTTAAAGTAAGTTATATTCAATGGATATTAAAAAGAATCGATCGTTCAGTTTTTAGATACATATTCAACTACCATTTTGAGCTTAATAGTTTGATGATCTCGATCATGATCAACGCTTTCCTCGTATCATCGTATTTTCCCTCATGCTAGTTGGTCATGGGATGTATACCTAATAATGATAAATAATTCTAACGATCTTTCATTAAATGAGCCAGGTACTCTAGTTTTTAGCAATTTCTTTGAGGGAGGAGGACGATTTTGGACCCAATAGGGGCAAAGCTGCCCACTCCTATTCTACCAATGAAAGCCAAGTAAAGCATCAGAAGCATTCATATTATCTGTTTAGTTTCTCGCTAAGAATGTGGAAACCGATTATTAGACTTTAACCACCACTACATACGTACGATTGATTATTAAGTGACTCGTCGAGAGGCTTCGTAAAAGTTCATTTATTTTCATCCAATGAATTGTTTTCGTGCTGGAACAAGGGCCAAAGATATCAAATTAAAACGAAGAACAGTAAGGACACACCCAAGTCTCATCGGTAAAAAAAAGAATGATAGTTTAAAAAAATACCAGAAAGCTTTTACATAACAAAAGGATCAAAACAAGATATTTCGCATCAATTTGCCCATAATTCCAGAAGCAGAAACCTGGCGATCCGCGCGATGAAGAGGTCGATTTTTATCTTTGTTCTGTTACTTTTGTGCTTCGTGATACTTCCTCATGTCTCATCACAAGGTTAACCTCACCATTACTCATTTATGAACGGGAATAGAGAAGGGACATTAGTCCTTCACAATCATAGTTATCGTTTAACACCTGCATGTTATATGTTTAAAGGAAGTTTTGTTATTCACCACCACATTAGGAAACTGTTTAAAGATAGCTTAACAGTTCCTTAAACTTCTTAACCAGATAAATTATTGATGATAGAAAGATACTTGGGCAGTTAGTTTGTTTGAGTACCTTTAGGTGAATTTATTGCGAATGGTTCTCATTTCTCCCTTCTGTTTTGTTGTCGT